ACAATTCTTTGAATAGTGACCGCGTAATGAGCCTTGTAACAATAGTGGAGCTCTTAGCATCAGAGTTTGGGCTGTTAAACTTGCCAATAGAATGCAAATCCCTGGGGTTCTGTCCGATTTTTTTTTTTTTGATAATTGTTGTTTAGATCCTGAAAGGTCAAACAGATTTTTCTTTCATTCTTATCATTAGAATTATAAAAAACTGTCTTCTCAGCTTGTACGAAAAATCCAAGATTATATGACAAGTCAATCAGTTGCAATTATTTGAAAGTTGTTGCAGCCCCATCAAGAAGACATGGGTCCAAACAATAGGCCAACCTTTCCCACAAAGTGGGAAAAACCTTCGTAAATTAACACAGATATTACATTTGTTCTATTATTATTTCATTCTATTATCTCCGTCTTTCTGTAACAAGTTGAGTGCATTCCACGTCCATGCACATTTTCCATTCCATCATCTGCTCACATTCTCCAGACGTGACATCCCCCAGTTTACTTTTCAAATGGATTCAGCAGAGATGGACCCACCACCACTGCTGCAGCTTTTCCAGACCCTCTCCATACTAGGATTACATTTTGCTCTCCTGGCTCCTCTATAGCCCCACATTACGCAGTGTGGAAACTACGCATGCACCAGAGTCATGGTTAAAACGTACAAGACATTTTAAGTTCTACTTGATTAAACAACAATACTGTGCTCTTTCCAAACCTGTTTGATCATTTTCAACACATTATTACATATTTCGAGCAACATTTGTAGGGGTGTACTAAATTAGAATATCTATATTCAAAAATTACATACAATAATCATTTAATATGTAGTAATATTTATTTTTAATTTGATATTACTGTTTTGTTATTTACATATATACATATTGTTTGACATTTTAATTTGAAAAACAATTAATCCTTGCTTAATTAAATATAAGTAGTAAGTAATCTTTATTTATATAAAACGTCTTTCACACAGTCACGAAGCAATTGTTTTGGCAAGTGTCCTCTCACTCCACACAGAGATGGGAGAGGGGTCACCATGCAGGTGGCACATGCCAGACCTATTGTACATATTTTAAGTGGTAGATGAAACACAGACACAGGAATCGAACCCAGGACAATTTTTGGTGCCCAAAAACCCTCAGCTGTCTCTTCCTTCCACACTGTAACACAGGCTGGTGTGTCAGAACAACCGGTCTTTAACCGCCTTTTGGCCAAGTCTTTTTGGATAGGCGTGTTCAGTGTGAACACTCCAACCACACAGAGGTAATTTAGACACAAGAAAAGAAAACAATTTTCTAGGCCTTTGCTTACATATGGTAACGGTAGAAGGTAAAGAAGGGTATAAAACTACACACAAATTACACAAGAGACAATACTGACATAGTGACAGAGTAATAATACAGAGATTTATTATCTAAATTCCTTTAAAATAGCTTAAGAAATTTTAACCTGAGTATTGAAATATTCCATTGTGTCAATCGTCAGTAAGATCTGATTATGATGCAATTGTTTAAAAGCCTTAATTGCGTTTACTCCCAGACATGACTCCACATTCTAACTGTGTTCCTCTGATCTAGTGTGTTTGTGGAGCTTGTCCAGACACGCCTCTGCTGCTCGCTGTAAAACTGGGAATGTCCGACCCCTGCACTTTGAGATGCCGTAACATCGTCCATGTTATATCACTACTGGGCAGCACGGTGGCTGAGTGGATAGCACTCTCGCGTCTCAGCAAGAAGGTCCTGGGTTCGAATCCCGATTGGAACAGTGCCTTTCTGAGTGGAGTTTGCATGTTCTCCCCGTGTCTGCGTAGGTTTCCTCCGGGTACCCCGGTTTCTCCTACCACTAAAAATATGTACAATAGGTCTGGCATGCGCCTCCTGTACTGGCCCCGCTCCCATCTCTGTGTGGAGTGAGAGACAAATGCCCAAAAAAATAACAATTGTAAACCGCTTTGTGACTCTGGTCTGTGAAAGGCGGTATATAAATAAAGATTACTTACTTACTTACTGTACATGTTCGTGTTGTCTCAGAGGAGACTGAGACTGGCTTTTCATTTAGAATGTCACATATCTTTTTAAAGTATGCAATATGGATAACATGTTTAATGGAAGAAAAGATGGCCAGGATAAGTAACACTCACATAGTAACAGTGGAAAATGATAATCCTCGATAAAGTGCCAAACTGTTGTTGTGTCACTGGCAAGACACTGCACCCATAGAATGAATTTGTGTGCGTTAATGGTTGGGGCCGACGGCACATAATGGTTGCACCGGTACTGTCAGTGTGACCTGGCAAATTAAATATAACTAAATAAATTTGGTGTCCAAAAAAGTGCTATAGAAACCGATGCACTATTGTATCATTGTTATTAGTAATAAAAATAGCCTGAGATTAGAAAATTTAGCACAGATCAATCATACATACACAAGCTTTCGAAAACCAGGAAAGATGTATTAAAATCATAATTTAATTAGCTACAAATTACAGCTTTATTGGTGCTAAACGATTATTCATATTAATAGTAATAGACCACCAACAAAAGGTGAAAGCTGTATTGGCTGTCACTCTGATGCTCATTAGTCACATTTCCCTGACCCAGTGGTATAAATAGCTGGTTATCTGATCACCAGGAGAGAGAGGCACTAATCTGTGTGTGTGAACTGAGCGCAATAGAGTACCACAACCGTTTATGTGCTGCAGCTCAGGACTTGCAATAATTACAATTTGCTATCAGTACTTAATATATGGCTACATTACGCATCTCCATTCTATTTATCATGAAATAAAGAGTATTTTTTCTTTTATTTATGCCATAAATTGGCATATTGTATATTTCTAACCAATATATCAATAATTGTCATCGTGATAAAATCGTTATCGTGATATTATCGTTATCGTGATATTATCGTTATCGTGATATTATTGTTATTGTGAGCTTTGTATCGTATCGTGAGGTACCCTTAGGTTCCCACCCCTAGGTCAGGATTGTGCCAAAGTGGGGTGTATTTGCATGGTGCAGTGGAAGAGTTAGTGAGGTGTAGGGCTTTCCACCAGGCTGTCAGAGTTGTTGCAATGACAGTGTTTTGGAAGCAATTGTGTTTCTTGAGGGAGGGGCTGAGTGCAGGTAAGTCTGAGAGTGAGATATTGTTACAGGAAGCTTGTTCTAGTTTGATCCAGAGGTGGTTAGGTGATGGGTTTATCCATTTTGTGAGGTATTGCAGTTGATTGGCTATGAAGTATGTCTGGAAGTTTGGTGCGTTTAGTCCGCCATGTAGCTTGGGTTTTTCGAGTGTTTCGTGTTTAATCTTAGGTTTTTATTGTTCCAGTAGAATTTGATTATGAGGGAGTCTAATGTTCGGAACTATTTGTCTGGTGGGGTGACTGGGATGTTTGAGAATAGGTAATTAAGTCTGGGGATGATTTTCATTTTTATGCAAGCAATGCGTCCAATTAGAGAAATTGATAGATTTGACCAACTGATGAGGTCATTTTGTATTTCTTGGAGACGAGGAGTATGGTTAAGTGAGAATAACTCTTGACAACCCGGGGGAAATATTAATGCCGAGGTACCTGATGTTGCTAACCGGGAGTGAGGGAAGGGATTCCTGAGCTGCAGAGTCCCCAGCGTGATCTGTTATTGGTAATATAATTGATTTATTCCAGTTAACTGTATAGTTGGAGATTGATGAAAATGTGTCAATGACTTTTAATGTTTCTTTGGCAGATTTGGCTGGGTTTTGAAGGTAGAGGATGATATCGTCTGCGTAAAGGCTGATTTTGTGATGTTTGTATGCCATGAATGTGTACATTTTGACGTATTGCTATAGCAAGTGGTACGCTAAACAGCGCAAAAAGAGAAGCAGAGAGTGGGCATCCTTGTCGTGTACCTCTGTGCAGTGTGAATGGGGGTGAGGTTATACCGTTAGTAGTGACCGTTGCTTGTGGTGAGGTGCACTCACTGGTGCTTTGACCCAGTGAGTGAATGACTCCCCAAATTCAAATTTCTGTAGTGTATGCAGTAAGAAAGACCAGTTGACCTTATCAAAGGCTTTTTCTGCATCAAGTGAGGCTACACTAGTGGGTTGTTTGGCTTGCTGGCATAGGTTAATGATATTGAAAAGGGTCCGCAGGTTGTCAGATGAGGTTATGTTTTTTATGAATCCTGTCTGGTCTGGGTGGACTAGCCATTTGCCTCGAATCTTATTATTTTGAGGTCTGTATTTAGGAGTGATAAAGGTCTGTATCTGGATGATTGAGTTGGGTCCTTGTCTGGTTTCAAGATAACAGTTATTGCTGCTGTGTTCATATGTTGTGGAATAACGAATGTGTTTTTTATTTCATTGACGGTGTGTGATAAGAATGGTGATAATAGTGTCCAGAATTTTTTATAGAATTCGGCAGGATACCCATCTGGTCCAGGATATTAATTGTTTGCCACTAGTGTGAGGGCTTTGTGGAGTTCATGTGATGTTATTGGAGCTTCTAGGGTATGTAAAAGATTGGAAGGTACTTGGGGTAGTTTTAGATTTTCAAAAAAAGTTGTCATTTGTGCCTGGTTTGGTTCGTTTTCAGATGAATATAATTTCTCATTAAATGAGTGAAAAGTTATTTCATGGGGGTTGTGAGACATTTGGTTGTCTGAGTTGTACATTGCTGATATTGTTGTTTTGTCTCGTTTGCTCTAAGTAAATTAGCAAGGTATTTTGGCGATATATTTGATTCTGCAAACTGTTCACATTTGAATTGTTGTTTAATGAAATAGTTTTTTTATTTAATAAATTCCCTAGTTGGTGTTGTTGTAATTTGAGTTGCTCTCTCTTTCTATGATGTGATGGATATTATTTTCCCTCTTGAGAAAGCTTTCCCTGTTTCCCATAGTAATGATGCAGCGATATCCGGGGAGTCATTTACTTCTAAAAAACATGCCCACTCCCTCTTTATTAGTTCATTGAAATCTGGATTATCTGGAGCATTGATGATTAAGGGTTAGGGATACTGGAGCATGATCACTGATGATGATTGTGTGTATGGTAATGTCAGAGAGGTTGGCTAGTAGGGTGTTGCTAATAAGGAAAAAGTCTATTCTTGAAGATGAGTGGTGTACAGAGGAGTAATGTGTATATTGTCTTGTCTGTGTTGTTCTCCAGCCATCACAGAGACCATAGTCCTCCATGTATTGTTTATTTGCGTTGGATGAGTGTGATATCTTCTTGGTGGTGGAGTTTGATCTGTCTATATAGTAGTAGTAGTAGAAGTAGTAAGTAATGCATTTTACAGACCAAGGTCACCCAAAGCGCTTTACAATGTTCAGAGTTCAGATATTGTTCCAATCATTCCACACACGGTGATGACGGAAGCGAGTCGCCGAACACACTGGCGCATCAGCCCCCAATGAACACCATCCATTCACTCTCTCATTTACCTATTGTGCATGTCTTTAGTGGTAGGAGAAACCGTTGCACCCAGAGGAAACCTACGCAGACACGGGGAGAACATGCAAACTCCACTCAGAAAGGCCCTGTTCCAACCGGGATTCAAACCCAGGACCTTCTTGCTGAGAAGCGCGAGTGCTATCCACTCAGCCACCATGCCAATAGTAGGATTGAGTACTGAGTTAAAGTCGCCTGCCATTTCAATTTTTGAAGCTTAATTTTACTTAGAAAATATGTTGTGGAAGAATGCTGGGTCATCGTTATTGGGTCCATGAATATTGACAATTGTATATGTTTGTGTGGATATGGTTAATCTAATAATAACATAGCGTCCCTCTTGATCTGTAGTTATCGAGGTTTGAGTAGTGGGGAGTCTCTTATGAATTAAGATTGTGACTCCTCTTTGTCTGCTGATAAATGGAGCAGAGTGGCTTGTAGTGTAGTTTTTATTTGTGAGTAGATTTGTTTCAGTATTGGATAAGTGAGTTTTTTGCAGTAAGCAAATGTCTGCTTTTAATCTATGAAGATGATTAAATATTAAGGTTTTTTTTCTGTCTTGTTCGAATGCCACGTACATTCCATGAGACAAACTTTAATGTGTGTCGCGTGTGTGTGATAGAGGTCTGACATCATTGGGAGAGTGGTAAGGGACCAGGGTTGGGATGGGATAGGAAGGATTAACCATTTAATTGGTTTTGAATCACTGCTGTCATGTTTTTTTTCTGGGCTTTATTACACAATATGCAGAATTATTTTTTTTAGCCTTCTACTTCATGGTTGCTGGTCTGAAAGAAGAAATGTCTAACAAAGGCATTATTGGTCAAATTAAATTAAATTAAATTTATTCTTCCATTGCCCTAAATCTTCTGTCACAAGGGGGCTCCCTTTCTGTCACAATAATTCAAATTAGCTTTGGAAATTCCTGCTGTCAAATTGTGTTCGTTACACCGTGTGCCTTCTATCAGTCCATACTAAACTAGCCAAATGTAATTTTCGAGTTCTACCACTAGAGTAGAGTTGCTTAAGTCTTGCTTAAGTGAAAAAATGACACAAAAAATGCATCCTTAGAGATGTGCTGTATGTGTATGAATATGATATATAATGTTGGGTTGTTGTATATTTGACTCGCTGTGCTGTGCTTTCAGGTGGTCCGTGCGCGGCTGCAAGAGAGGGACATCTGCGTGAAAGATGTCCGACTGAATGGCTCGGCTGCCAGCCATGTCCTCCATCAAGACTCCGGCCTGGGATACAAGGACCTGGACCTGATCTTTGGCGTCTCCCTCAAAAACGATCAGGCCTTCCGGCTTGTGAAGGATGTGGTGCTGGACTGCCTACTAGACTTTCTACCTACCGGTATTTGCAAAGAGCGGATATCGCCGCTGACGCTTAAAGAAGCGTACGTACAGAAACTGGTCAAAGTCTGCAACGAGACTGACCGCTGGAGCCTCATCTCTCTGTCCAACAACACGGGCAAAAACGTGGAACTCAAATTTGTAGACTCGTTGAGACGCCAGTTTGAATTTAGCGTGGACTCCTTTCAGATTAGCTTGGACTCTTTGCTTTTGTTTGATCGCTGCTCAGAGACGCCGATGTCAGAGAGCTTCCATCCAACAGTGGTGGGCGAAAGCGTCTATGGGGATTTTGTTGAAGCTTTGGATCACCTCTACAACCGTATCATTGCAACAAGAAGCCCAGAAGAAATTCGTGGAGGTGGTTTGCTGAAATATTGCCATCTGCTGGTGCGTGGTTTCAGAGCGCGATCCGAAGCTGACATGAAGCAGATGCAGCGGTACATGTGCTCGCGGTTTTTCATAGACTTCCCGGATATCGGAGAACAGCAACGAAAACTGGAGGCCTATCTCCAAAATCACTTTGCTGGGATGGAGCACAAGCGGTACGAATGTCTGATGACTTTGCACGAAGTGGTGAACGAAAGCACAGTTTGTCTAATGGGACACGAAAGGCGGCAGACCCTCAACCTTATCTCTATGTTAGCACTGCGCGTTTTAGCCGAACAGAATGCAATACCGACCATCACCAATGTTACATGCTACTACCAGCCCGCACCATACGTCCAGGACATCAACTTCAGTAACTATTACATAGCGCACGTGCATTCGCCACGGATGGGTACCAGCTCTTATCAAACATGGCTTCCCTGCAGCTGAAGAGACTGAACAAAATTCTTCAACAGACTATCAACCAAAAAAAGTTGCCAAATGTGACATTTATATGAATCTTCAACTGCTGGGATTTGATCGCCAAACAGGCATTACATCATGAAATTATAGAAGAGATATTGTGCTTATTTTCTGCTAGAAAAGGAAAATCTATGACACCTGTGGATGAATATAATGTATATGTAAAATTGATTTTCAATATCAATTTACGCTGGACATGTCTGCTGTGTTTTGTAGATGAATATAACAGAATAATTGAATTTAAAATACTGAAAATTGATTTTCAATATCAAGTTGATATTGTGACAAAACACGTCATCAGCTATTGGTACTGCCTCGTAATACCCTGACAAACCTATCAAATTTTTATGAAAACATACACAACCAAACTTTTTTGAATTGCTGTGAATGCATGCATTATATATAAAATATTACTGATAATACCAGCACATTATGTGCTTAAAGCTATATAGTTGAATTAAGAATGTTTGACAAGAGAAAGTGCTGGTTTATACAATTTTGAGTATTGCTTAAAACAGAAGCAGCGGCTCGGAGTAGAGCCGCTGCTTCTCCACGTCGAGAGGAACCAGTTGAGGTGGCTCAGGCATCTGTTCAGGATGCCTCCTGGACGCCTTCCTGGGGAGGTGTTCCGGGCACGTCCCACCGGGAGGAGGCCCCGGGGAAGACCCAGGACACGCTGGAGACTATGTCTCTCAGCTGGCCTGGGAATGCCTTGGGGTCCCTCTAGACGAGCTGGAGGAGGTGTGTGTGGATAGGGAAGTCTGGGCGTCTCTGCTTAGACTGCTGCCCCCGCGACCCGGCAACGGATAAAGCGGAAGAAAATGGATGGATGGATGGATGGCTTAAAACAGTTGAATTGTTGAAAGCAGCACCACTAGAACTCAAATTAGTGGAACTTTGAGGATATAGAAAGGGATCAATTATGGTGAGCTGTCTGCTTTCCATATTCAGGTGTTAATAGCACACTTAAGTCACAAGCTCAGCATGTGGTGGAGATGTGCAAAAAGACACCACAATATTTATGGAAAAGATGAATCTTAATGTACACATCCTGCCAAGCCAAAAGTTTGTTTAGGACTCGGTCTTGGAGATAATTAAATCAAGATATGACCAATAATAACTGACCATTCTAGTGCCTTCTATCCCTGAATTTAGCCTTGACTAGTAAATGGTGTAAGTGGGAAAAGTCCTACCTTGATCCTGATGGGCTCATTGGTTGCCAGGTCGTTGTCCCACAAAAAGGTGCCTCCAGAAATTTGCCCATGGAGCTTGTTTGAGTTAACTCTAATCAGCTTCTTCCACACTAAGGAAATATATGTAAATATAAAAGTATATAGGTAAATTAGCAGGATATTGGCAGAATAGATAGATAGACCATAAGTCGACTCTTCCTACAGTCTATGCATCTACATGTCTGCTTAAAATGTCTGGAGGGACGTCAAAGTCTTTTCTTTGTAGAGTGTGCTCAGACCGAAATGCTCCTCATGTTCTGCCTAATTGGTGACTGTTCATGTAAAAAGTATCAATGAGATTGCTGGTCATTTCTGAGATGTAGCGATTGCATTCTATTTTACATATTCATGTATTTTACAAAAACTTTGTAACAGAAGTACATTTTTGAAACTTTTTTTGACTGTTTTCACACTGGTGTTTTCATTACCTACTGGACCAAAGATGTATTCAATGTTCTCAATGAAAGTGTGGTGTCTGATTTATGTCATAGTGCCTGAAAATTACGCTGGACATGTCGGCTGTGTTTTGTAGATGAATGTAACAGAATCATTTAATTTTGTGACATAAAAAAAAAAAAGATGGTCTTTGATTGTGACAATTTTCTGCCCAAGATGTAACCTCACTAAACTGTCAAGGGCTGTTGTACTTTGGTCGGTTTTTTTGTCATTAATCGTTTGGTTGGTCTTTGACGACCAAAACATTTACCTATTTACTTTCTAATCAAATTACAAAAATGTATGATAGAACATGAGTACATATAGAGAATGACACTTATTTCGGTATAAGGCAGATATCACATGACTTTTTCTTTGATGGATGGATAAAGCATTACATTTTGGGCCTCAATAATCGACATATTGTTCATATTATTAATATATTTTCTAGTCTTGCAGCGCCGAGTGGTAAATGGCTAACCAATGTTTTGGCCACTACAAGGGGGCCCCTCGAAGTGGCCAAAAGTGTAGCTAACGCAATTTTGGCCATTTTTGAGACACACTTTTGGCACTGCGGTAGCGCTCCTTCTTGCACTGAGGGTGCCACTGAAGGAGCTCCTCAGCTCCGCTACAGTCCTGTGCAGTGGGTAGGATGTTTTCTCCATGATGCAGGTGAATTTGGCTATAGCACCCTCCTGTCCCTCATCTCCTCCACAGAGTTCAGGGAGCAGGCCAGAGCGGAGTTGGCCCTCCTGACCAGCTTGTTCAGTCTACTCAGTCCTGCTCTGTGCTGCCCAGCACATGGCAGTCTAGTTTATGGCAAAATCTACCACAGAGTCATAAAAGGTCCTGCCTGAGTTGATCATTCACTGCACTGGTGATGTGCTGCACACTCACGGGGGATTTACACCGTAGGCGTAAACAGCGCGTACGCGTTTACTGCGCGCTCTCTGCGCGTAACATTTTTTTGGAGTATCTACACTGACCGTGCGCGCAGGGCCTTGGTCTTCTGATGCTCTCCCTGTGTAGTCTATGGAGCAGTGTAGAGGACAGTACGAGCCAGAGGACTGATGTAGAGCAACACAAATCACATGCATGTGTTTGTCTTCATGGTCTCTGTGCGCTGGTTTGGCCAGACGCGAGACTTTATGAAAGAAAAAAAACGATGTCCAGAATCACTGTAAAACCTGCTGCTCCTCCTGCTGATGTTTAGACACAAGTGCAGTGTGCGTGCAGATGTGATCTAAAGCCAAGGACCGCTAGAAAAATAAAGTTTTACATGAGATTTCAATGGGAGACGCGTTGGTGCGCGTACAAAATTAGAAATCCATCCTAAATTAGAGCGCAGCTTTGCGTCACATGTCCGTCATACGCGCGTATAACGCTAGAAGTGTAAATATCATCATAGGTTAACATGGAAAAAAGTTACGCGCGTCTGCTGCGCGTATAACGCGTACGTGCTGTAACGCGTGATGTGTAAATTAGCAGTTACTTGTAAGTAAAGGTTATTCATAAAGCACTGATATGGCGATCAGAGAAGTACTAATAAACAATATAATACATCTATGGCGCAGCACCGTGAGATGTCTGGAGGATCTTGGGACCCAGGCACGCAGCTGAGCTGCACTCGTGTTGAAGAACATTGTAACACGGCATTGATGTGTTGCCGTTAGAAACCCAAATGTGAACGGCCCATTGAAATCTGGAGTACCTCTTTCAAACCATAAAAATCTAGCTAAAATCTATGTTATTAGATTCTTGCTCTCAAACAGTTTGCTTCTATCACCATTTTTCACACGCATATATTTTTGGCCTCTTTCTTGACATCTAAAGATAAAATGAGACCACCAGTGTACTGTATACAAGATGTTTCTAATGTGATGAAAACAGCATATTGTGGTCTGTTTGTTCCCCATATTTATGTGATATCAAAAGTTAGGTTAAGTAAATTTAATTTAAAAGAAGCTCATAACTAGAGCTTGTGTTCTTTTGCACAACTTGGTTGAACTGCTGAAGTCCATAATGGTGTACAGGCCAACACACATCACCGCATCAACCTCACTTTCAGAATTACATTTTTTTTCCCTCAATGAAGATAACAAAAAATGATGCATTCACTTTATTGTCCATATTGGACATTTTGAAACTGCCCAAAGAAGGCAAAAGTGACTACATCCGTTTGTATTTACAGTCTTTGGTTCTGACCAATCTGCGGCTGATGATCAGGGCGGAGCTAGAGCGGGAGTCAAATGAGCAGGGTTTGTTGATTTAAAATGTCGACTTATAGAAAACCGAAAGATTTAACAAGAAAATAAGTTTAGGACGACAAGGGACACTAAAATCCTTACAAAATGCGACCTAAGCTGTAGAGCTGTTTCAGTTTACATTGAGTTCTATGAGACATTTTTCTGGGTAGCTAGCTAGTAATACCCTATCCAGATATTATTATAGATCCATGGTCTGATTGCTTTGTTAGCATTTTTCAAAAACATTAGGATTCCTTCAGTGGATCTCTGCTTGATCTGCTTGTCTCGGACCGTGAATCCTCTCTGCTCTGGATCAGTGTGTGGCAGTACGTGGTGTGGACGGGCTCTTAATTTGAGGGTGAGTCCTAATTGGCCGCTCGTGCTGGATTCCCGTGGTGGTGGTTCCTGTTTGGGTTTGACTTGCACATTCTGTTTGTGGTGTTTATTCTGTATTAATTTAGCTCTCCGCCCCTTTTAGTTTAGGCCTCAGCCCCGAACTACTTAAAGAGCGACTAAACACCTGTGCCCAGCCTTACTCCGCCCACATGAAGATTTGAAAATGTTCTCTAAAAAGGGCGTTGCCTGGAGGACCAAGGGACAAGAAGGGGGGCTCAGAGTTGGGCGTGGTCTGGGCTGTGATTGACAGCTCACTTGTCACACACAAAAAAAAACAGACAGTTGTCATTGCTGCTTAAAGCAATAGTTTACAGACCAGAAAGTCTCATTCCACCCTTGTTTACACACTAAGATAATTGTAAAGCTACACATCTGAACCTAATCACACTCAATAATCTCAGAATGACTCATGTAATTTAATTTTAATCCACTAGATGGCGCCAGAATACTCCAAACTGCAGCTGGGGCGTGTGTGAGAGTTGAATGGGTTCACATCACTGGCTCTGACAGACTGACGTCACACAAAACAACTGATGTCATAGAGAACTTCAGAGTCAATGGAGAGGCCAGAACCAAATTCAAATGTAGTACCACCAAAAAGGTTGAGAGGGCACCACACAGCGTTTTTTGGCTCAAAAGTGATATTTTATCTAATTTG